GATTTCCCGACATCAGGGAAAGAAAATGTGAATGCTCACATTCATTTGCCTGCAAATTTTTTTAAATAGAAAGAAGAAAATAAGCAATTTATTATTCTAGTAGATATTTTATAATTCACTTTGTTAGATTTATCTTATTCTGCAAAGTATTCATGTAAAAATTGAATACTATCATAATATTAATAGAAATACCTTTAGTTCAGAGTCAGCGTCCATTTAATGTTTACATTTAAATGCATATATAATTTATGAGTAGATTACATTATATGCAAGAAATATTTAATATAGATTTATGTAAAAATATATGTTTAGTTTTGAAAAAAAGATGATTGTATTGAAAATAAGTCACATTTCCGTTGTGTTTTCCCATCAGAAGATGAGGTATTTTTTCTTTCCTTCAAATTATTAGCTCTCCACCAGTGTGGCATCCTAACTTGTTTCTACTTTTATTGCTCTATGGCTCTTTCTTCATCAGTCTCTTCACATCTACTCCCTTCTTCTGCCTCCTCTTCCCTAAGAGATCTTTAACGTTTTCTTTTGCCAATCCCAGTCACATTTCTCCATGGTTATCCTTGACCTCTGCTGCCACAAGGCCACAAGGTATCATTTCCTCTACTCCAACCCTTTTCAACACCATCCTCATTCTCTTTTTACAACTGTACCTCTCACGTGTTTTCTTCATTTATTCCTCTGACTTTATCCAAACTCTAAGGAGCCCTTCCTAGATTCAATTCCTTGACTTTCTGTCTCTAAATTATCTTATTAATTTCCCATTTGTACTCCCACTACAATGTCTGACTTACAGAAAGTGATCCATTAAAACTTAAGGAATAAATGTGTATGAGTAAATATTTTCTCTCATATTTACAGCTTTAAATAAAAAATTAATATCAGTTACTTTCAAATTGATATAAGTCATGTACTCTCCTTAAATATACAAATCTTAGCTAGAGAATTTTTTTGAATGTATTATTACCTCCAATCGACATATCCGAAACCAGATACATCTCTCTGGCAACACTAAATTTTAAAAATATTTATCCCTGTTAATAACATTTCCTTTCTTGATGAATACCCAAGTTCAAAAGTACCACCTTTATGCATTTGTTTATGTCACTGAAACAAATCATTTTCCATAGAAAATGTGGGTATCTATTTTCTCACTCTTACTGCAACAAGCTTAATTCTGGTCCTAATCTTCTCACTCTTCAACGCCCTGCAATAAGCCTTTAGCTCCAGGAACTCAATGCATCTTTCATTTCCACATAGTCCAACCTATTCTGTACATTGTTTCTAAATTTATATTTCCTACATATTACTTTTATCATGCATTTCTTCTGCTTAGTATTCTGAATTTCCTACTCTTCTAACTCTACGTTCTCTGCCTGGGCTCACAGATCTCTCATAATATACCTCTTCCCCTAACCATTCCAAATCTGTTTACCACTCTAAGTCGTGGTAATCATCACATTATTTGTTAAATACATTCATGTGCAAGACACCAACCATTTCCCCTAAACAGCCAATTTAATGCTCATTCTGCCTCTTTCCCCATGTGACTCTCCCACTTTGAATTTATTTTCTAATCTATTAATCCAGTTCTTCCAGGCCGAGTTCATTTCCCCTACGATAGAAGCTTTCTGCAGTTCCCAGAGTCCTCATTATCTTCCTTTCTTATGAACTCCTGCCAGTATTTTCATCTGTGACACATAAGCTGTTATATCTCAAGGTTTGTTCTTTACTACAAATAGGTATGTTAGTCTTGATCCTCCAAACGGATGGTTAGTTCCTTGATCGCAGCAACTATTCTCATCTGTCCACACAACACTATCACAGTGCTGACCAAGCACATATTAAGTGTTCGATGAATCCCAGTTGATAACCTGCTGGACCCAGGTGAAAAAAATCTATTTTCCATTAATTCATTTGCTCGACTGTATTTTTTAAGAGTTAGATTTTCTAAAAGAGTAGTGTATGGACCAGCAGTTATCAGCATCACTTGGGAATTTGTTAAAATTGCAGATCTTGAGGTTCTACCCAAAACCTACTAAATCAGAAGGTCTAGGAGTAGAACTCAAAAACTCTATGTTTTTCAAGCACTCTGCATAAATTTGATACACACTATCGTTTTAGAACCACTGCCATAGATCAGACATCTTGTCCTCATAACAAGGTCTCTAGATAAAATAGCAATGGCCAATACAAAAGGTTAATGGCTTACTGAGCTTTTATTTTTGAGGACATTCTGACCTGCTTAAAACCAGACAACTTGTGATTAGCAGTGTACTTTCTGTGATTCACAAAGCTTAGACAATAATGGAAACAGGCTATTTGAGCAATCAGTTATCTAAACGAATCTAAAAGGTTTTGCTGTGAAGGTTAATATTCCATGTTTTATCTAACATTTGCCTCGTACCCTCCACCAAAATTGGTTTAATGTGAAGTTCTGAAACTGGAATCTAAAGTACAGAGGATATTGTTGAAAGCTCAGTCATCTAGTTGCTACATAAGTCTGAATATCTGCAAAGGTTTTAGAACCCAAATGTTAGATTTTAAGTTTATCACCCACCATCCTTTATGCACAGCTTACCAGCTCTGAAGAGGGGTGAGATCAGGAACAGAGGTCACGGACTCTGGAGCTGAGGACCCTAGAGAGGCTATCTCATGCTCAGAAGGTTTAAGAGAAATTCAGGGGACTCAATGTTGATCTGTATTCTGTTTAGGGGACAAAGTTGCCCAAAGGGAAGCCATAAACCCCAGGGCCTTAGCAGTGAATCTCACTTCCACCTAAGTCGATGATGTGTTAGGGTGTTCCCCAGAAAAAATAACAGTAGGATGTATATGTCTACATGTAAGCATGTGAATACACATACCTTCAGGATACATGAAGGGAATACATACATACACACACACATGCACACACACAAAGAGGGAGAGAAGGAAGAGGAGGAAGAGTAAGGGAGAGAGAGGCAAAGAGGAATGAGGGAGAGAGGAGAGAAAGGGAAAGAGAGGGAGGAGAGAGAAGAAAGAAGGAGAGTGAGGGGGAGACAGAAAGAGAAGAGGAGAGGGGGAGAGAAAAAAAAGAGAAAAGTGGGGAGGGAGAAAAGGAGGAGGAGTAGAGAGGAGAGAGGCCAGAGGGAGATAAGGAGGTAGAGAGAGAAGAGAGCGAGGCAAGGAAAGGGAGAGAAACTGGGGGACAAGAAAGAGAGAGAAAGGGAGAGACGGATACAGAGAAAGAGAGTGAGAGAGGAGGCAGGTTTTAAGGCACTGGCTCACATGATTGTAGGGGTTAGGAAAATCAAAATCTGCTGAGCAGGCTGGAGACCCAGGGAAGAGCTGATGGGCAACTTGAATGTAAACTCAGGTTGAAGGAAGATTTCCCTCTTCCTCTGGTAGATGTCACCCTTTTCTCTTAAGGTCTTCAACTAACTGGAGGAAGCTCACCCACATTATGGAAGGTACGTGACTTTTCTCAAGTCTGCTGATTAAATACCAACCTTATCTGAAAAATGTCATCATAGCAACCTTTAGACTGGTGTTTGACCAAACATTTGGTCTTTGAAGCTTAGCCAAGTTGATGCATAAAAATCAGTCATCAACCGTAAGTCAGATGGTGAGCTGCCTGAATCCTCAGTTGTGGTTATAAGACAATTTGCATTCTCCACACAAATTTAACTATAGAGACACTTTTGAACTTTAATCTCAATCAAATGGAAAGTATACATTTCCAGGTGGAAGTAAAGAAAGATGGTTTGGCGATCTGGGGAAAATTCTCACTTCTCTGGTCTGGAGCACAATTCTTCTTAGCCAGCTTTGAGGTGATAGGGATCTCTTCTCAATCATGGAGGTGCATTGTATTTCATGGGAAAACTTTAATAAAATGACAATACTCCCATCTCAGACCAACAAAACCAAAATCTCAAAGGTGGGACTCAGGTTTAGCCATTTAATGGAATCTGGCATGCATTCAGATTTGAGTCACTGCTCTAAATAAACGAAAGCTTCAAATGAATCTGAAAGTGCAATATCTGAGAAAAGCAATGAATCTGAAACCAAATGAATCTGAAAGCACAGTATCTGAGAAAAGCAATGAGTAAGTACAAGGGGATCAAAAGTCATGGTGAGTGGATGCTGCAAGACTGAGAAACTTACAGATAAAAACCATCTCCAACAATGGCGTGGCGTATTGGAGGCTTTCCTTTCTGCTTCTCTGGACTGTTTTCTCTACTCCTTATCTTTTCTTTTCCATCTTCTCTTCCTTTTAAGTTTTAGGAATGGCAATGACATTGAATTAGGGTTGATGGTGGAGTTGTTACTTTTGTTCTCTAACTACTTCTACGTTTTGGAGGAAACAGGAGGACCCATGTTTCTTCCAAAACTTAGAGGTAAAATTGGGAAACAGATGAATGTTTTCTTCCAAAACTTAGAGGCGAGTGTGGGAAATGGATGAATGCTGGATTATAAAGTCCCAATGAGGGAGTGGGCTTCCGGAGGTGAAGGTGTACTTCACTGGGGTAGCACACATGAAAGGGTATTGAAGATATGGCAAGGCTTGCTTTTCTGTGGAACACGGCTGGATAAGACTTCAACTTCACAGAGTTGTAGGCTATTCAAATGTAGTCCAGGAACCAGCAGCATTAGGATCACTACAAACTTGTTAGAAAGGCAAATTCTCAAGCCCCACCTGGAAAAACTGAATCAGCATCTCTGGAATCAGCATGTCTGAGGCCCAGCAATCTGTTACAGCAGGGCCTCCAGTGATTCTTATGCATGCTGAAGTTGGAGAATCATAACTGTAAATTAATGAGTGAAGAGTCTGCTGTCTTGACTTCACCCTGTTTCCAGTGTATTCACTACCAGATTTTATTGGTATTTATTTTGTTGTATTTATTTATAACTGATGCCCTTGAGAAATTTATTATTTATTTTTAATATTTTTAGCTGTTCTTTTAGGTTTTCTGAGTCAATAGCCAACTCACGTACTCTTTTTTATTTACTTATTTATTTATAGTAACCTTTATTTTCATTGATATTTCACTAAACATAATTTCAAAGTCAGTCTGTGGTCTAAGATGAGCAAAAGAACAGATAGTCTAAATCTCATAAGAGATTTTTTCACACTGTTCCTCAGAGCACAGAATGGGATTTCAGGGCCCTCAAAGTTGACATCTAATATTTTATCCTTGAGATTTACCTATAGATATGGAAAGAAGAGATAACATCAATATACAAGAATCAATCTCTATTAGGGTCTTATTAAGCTCTTCTGTTACATATTCACCACCTCTGTAGAGTTGTAATCATGACTGATTTTCCACCCCTCTGCCAAGTTTGGTGTCTTTTTTTTTTTAGGTAAAATGTCAGATGCAAAAATGCTGCACTTATTTCTGTTAATACATTGAAAATAGTGGAAGATGCAGATTTTTAATTCTTCATCAGTGCAAGATGGAACATGACTTCTGCTAATGGGGTCTGTTGAACATACTAACTCCAACTTTGACGGCCTTCAGCAAACTGGCACCTGCAATTAAATCTGCAGGCATGAATTTTCCAGAGAGGTAGAATCTCATTCCCATAATGCCAGCCAAGGTACCAGATGTAGCTAGGAAAACCCAAACGTTCCTTGGATTCTGAGACAGCTGCTAAGCACCCAGGCCGGCTAGGCTGCCGAAGAGCAGCCCGGCAGCCAGGGACAGCACGCTGCCTGCTTTTACATAGCCAACGATCCCACCAGAAGCAACCAGTGCTGCACAGCCAAAGCCAAACCAATGCAACGGCACTACTGAGCCGGTGTCTTGCATTCTTCTCTACTCTGTCCAGACAGGAGACTACCCCAGGCCTGCACCGGTCTCGCGAAGGCCCTGGGCTGTCTACAAGGGCGCACAAGCCGGCGGGGATGACAGCGAGGTGTCGCCGGACACAGGGCGGCGGACGCTCTGCGTCCTGGTGGCAGGCTGGGGAGAGCTCCCGTAGTCTTACATTAGCTACATGCATTATTTCATCTCATTACATTATTAATTTTTTTAAATGATGGTGGTGGACACAATTATCTTATTACTTATTTGTGGGAATTTTTAGGATTTCAACCAAAAATTTGATGCTAAAATTCGTCTTGTAAAAGATAAATATTCCTCACAAATTTTACTAATCACTTTTTTTTTTACAGTGAATGGATGCTGAATTTGATTTAAAAAGAACGGAAATCATAACAAACAGTCTCTCAGACCACAGTGTAATCAAATTAGAACTCAGGATTAAGAAACTCACTCAAAACCACACAACTACATGGAAACTGAACAACATGCTCCTGAATGACTGCTGGGTAAATAATGAAATTAAGGCAGAAATAAATAAGTTCTTTGAAACTAATGAGAACAAAGACACAATGTACCAGAATCTCTGGGATACAGCTAAAGCAGTGTTTATAGGAAAATTATTAGTACTAAATGCCCACAGAAGAAAATGTGAAAGATCTAAAATTGACACCCTAACGTCACAATTAAAAGAACTAGAGAAACAAGATCAAACAAATTCAAAAGTTAGCTGAAAACAAGAAATAACTAAAATCAGAGCAGAACTGAAGAAGATAGAGACACACACACAAAAAAAAAAATTCAAAAAAATCAATGAATCCAGGAGGTAGTTTTTTGAAAAGATGAACAAAATAGATAGCACAATAGCCAGACTGATAAAGAAAAAAAGAGAGAAGAATCAAATAGACACAATAAAAAATGATAAAGGGGATATCACCACTGATCCCACAGAAATACAATCCACCATCAGAGAATACTATAAACATCTCTACACAAAAAAACTAGAAAGTGTAGAACAAATGGATAAATTCCTGGACACACATACCCTCCCAAGATTAAACCAGGAAAAAGTCAAATCCCTGAATAGATCAATAACAAGTTCTGAAATTGAGGCAGTAATTAATAGCCTACTAACGAAAAAGAAGCCTAGAACCAGACGGATTAACAGCTGAATTCTGCCAGAAGTACAAAGAGGACCTGGTACCATTCCTCCTAAAATTAATCCAAACTATAGAAAAAGAGAGACTCCTCCCTAACTCATTTATGAGGCCAGCATTATCCTGATACCAAAACCTGGCAGAGACACAGAAAGAGAAAACTTCAGGCCAATATCCTTCATGAAGATTGATGCGAAAATCCTCAATAAAATACTGGCAAACCAAATCCAGCAACACATCAAAAACTTATACTCCACGATCAAGTCGGCTTCATCAATCAGATACAAGGCTGCTTCAACATATGCAAATCAATAAACGTAATCCTTCACATAAACAGAATGGATGACAAAAACCACGTAATTATCTCAATAGATACAGAAAAGGCCTTGGATAAAATTCAACACCCTTCATGCTAAAAACACTCAATAAACTAGGTATTGATAGAATGTATCTCAAAATAATAAGAACTATTTATGACAAACCAGCCCAATATGATACTGAATGGGCAAAAGCTGGAAGCATTCCCTTTGAAAACTGGCAAAAGACAAAAATGCCCTCTCTCACCACCCCTATCCAACATAGCGTTGGAAGTTCTGCCCAGAACAATCAGGCAAGAGAAAAAAATAAAGGGTATTCAAATAGGAAGACAGGAAGTCAAATTTTGTCTGTTTGCAGATAACATGATTATATATTTGGAAAACTCCATCGTCTCAATCCAAAAACTCCTTAAGCTGATAAGCAACTTCAGCAAAGTCTCAGGATACCAAAATCAATGTACAAAAATAAATGTGCAAAAATCACAAGCATTTCTATACACCAGTAATAGAGAGCCAAATCATACTAAACTCCCATTCACAATTGCTACAAAGAGAATAAAATACCTATGAATACAACTTAAAAGGGATGTGAAGGACCTCTTCAAAGAGAACTACAAACCACTGATCAAGGAAATCAGAGAGGACATAAACAAACGGAAAAACATTCCATGCTCATGGATAGGAAGAATCAATATCGTGAAAATGGCCATACTGCCCAAAGTAATGTACAGATCCAATGCTACCTTCATCAAGCTACCACTGACTTTCTTCAAAGAATTAGGAAAAACTACTTTAAATTTCACGTGGAACCAAAAAAGAGCCCACATAGCCAGGACAATCCTCAACAAAAAGAACAAAGCTGGAGGCATCACACTGCCTGACTTCAAGCTACACTACAAGGCTACAGTAAACAACACAGCATGGTAGTGGTATCAAAACAGATATATAGACCAATGGAACAGAACAGAGGCCTCAGAAATGATGCCATACATTTACAACCATCTGATCTTTGACAAACCTGACAAAACAAGCAATGGGGAAAGAATTCCCTATTTAATAAATGGTGTTAGGAAAACAGACTAGCCATATGCAGAAAACTGAAACTGGACCACTTCCTTGCACCTTACACAAAAATTAACTCAAGATGGATTAAAGACTTAAACATAAGACCTAAAACCATAGAAACCCTAGAAAAAAACCTAGGCAATACCATCCAGGTCCTAGGCATGGGCAAAGACTTCATGACTAAAACATCAAAAGCAATGGCAACAAAAACCAAAATTGACAAATGGGATCTAATTAAATTAAAGAGCTTCTGCATAGCAAAAGAAATTATCATCAGAGTGAACAGGCATCCTGCAGAATGGGAGAAAGTTTTTTCAATCCATCTGACAACAGGCTAATATCCAGAATATACAAGGAGCTTAAACAAATTTACAAGAAAAAAAACATGAAAAAGTGAGTGAAGCATATAAAAAGACACTTTTCAAAAGAAGACATTTATGCTGCCAACAAACATATGAAAAATAGCTCATCATCACTGGTCATTAGAGAAATGCAAATCAAAACCACAGTGAGATACCACCTCTTGCCAGTTAGAACAGTGATCATTAAAAAATCAGGAAACAACAGATGCTGGAGAGAATGTGGGGAAATAGGAATGCTTTTACACTGTTGGTGGGAGTGTAGATTAGTTCAACCATTGTGGAAGATAGCGTGGCGATTCCTCAAGGATCTAGAACTAGAAATACCATTTGATACAGCAATCCCATTACTGGGTATATATCCAAACGATTATAAATAATTCTACTACAAAGACACATGCACAAGTATGTGTATTGCAGCACTATTCAAAATAGCAAAGACTTGAAACCAGCCCAAATGCCCATCAATGATAGACTGGATAAAGAAAATGTGTCACATATACACCATGGAATACTATGCAGCCATAAAAAATAATGAGTTCATGTCCTTTTCAGGGACATGGATGAAGTTGAAAACCATCATTCTCAGCAAACTAACACAGGACAGAAAACCACACACCACATGTTCTCACTCATAAGAGGGAGTTGAACAATGAGAACACATGGACACAGGGAGGGAACGTCACACACCAGGGCCTGTCGGGGCTGGGGGGCTAGGGGAGGGATAGCATTAGGAGAAATTTTACATGTATATTGTACATGACGGGTCAATGGGTGCAGTTAACGACCATGGCACATGTATACCTACGCAATAGACATTCACATTCTGCACATGTATCCTAGAAATTAAAGTATAAAAAAAAAATTAGCTTTAACATCCAAAATTAATTAAAAGTTTATCAATTAAAAAATGTCTTTGCAACATGAATGAATAATTTTCCTCTCCTTTAAAGTAATCATGTGAATTCACAACATGCACTCTCCCAGCAATTTTAGAGTGAGCACTGCTTAGGGAAGGGTCTTTTGAAATATAATTGTAACTATATATAAAATACAGCTGTTTTCTATAGTAGTTTACATTTTTGTCTATATTATCAAAGTGAAAGTATCATTTTTGTGCTCAGTTTCACAAGTTTGGAAGCCTTCCTACGTTTTCCTGTGATCTATAGATTACTCAAACTCTTCAGAATTGTCTCTTCCTTGAAGTCTTTGAAGCTATCTGGATAGCTTTTAAGGGTGGGTGTTGAACAATTTCCTCAAGAATTTCATAGATATTAAACTACATATATTTCCTATCTATTTTAGCAACATTCAGCAATTTAGGTCTTCCTAGAGAAAATACATTTTTCCAGATTTTAACATTTTTAACATAAATCAATAGAAAGTATTACCCAATAACTTTGACTTCTCTGTCAGCTGGCTTTGTCTTCTTACTTATCCCTAATTTGTGTGCTTGGCTGTTTTTTTCCTTCTTTGAAAAACCACTTAGATATTTATACCTTAGATTTATACTTATATTTATACTTAGATTTTGTACCAAGGTACAAAAAGCTCTTGGATTTATTATACTTTATACTGCTTTTCAGTTTTCTATTCATTAATTTTAGCTTAAATTATTATTTTCTCCTGCTTTCTTATGTTCATTTTTTCTTTTGTAAATTTTCAAATTCAATAGCTTTTTTGTTCCATTTTTATTCTTACATAGCAAGAATGTAATAAAGGTGCTTAATTCTATAACTTTCCTGTGAATACAGCTTTGGCAATATACCAGAGGTTGTTATATGCAATCTCCTCACTTATTAAATTTTAATTTATTTTCTTCTTTGACTACAAAATTGTTTATTTTCACATTTTTTAATATTATTTTTCTTCTGTTATTTATTTCTAGCTTTCTAATATCGTTCCCAGTGTCTGTAACCTACACTAATTCTATCTTTTGGAATATATTCATGTTCAATTAAACAAAAAACTTACAAGTGCTTAAAAGATTTTCTGTAGTGGATAGAGTTTATTACATATTCTTGAAATCTTTTTAATTTCCCATTCATTTATCTCTGTTCAATATAATCTTTCAAGGACTAAAGGAGGCA